CTGAAGTTCATCGAGCGTGGTGCCGTTGATATACTGCTCTCCGTAATCGTCGGAGGCCGCCTTGTGGATGCGCAATGATGGGGCTGCGGTTCTTCTTCCCTTGCGCGAAGTTGATGAGGGATGTGTCTATTCTGGAGCCCGGCCGAACGCGTATCATGACGATGCCCAATACGGATAACAATTATTCGCGACGTGTCTCGGCACCCTTTCGTGCAGCGAGATCAGCGTGGCATGCTGAAGTCCCCGCGTGGGTTATATATTGGAACGCGGAATTTATTGGATCATATTACCGTGCTCGAATCGCGGCTCGTCGAATGGTGCTCGAGGAGGGAGTATCCGAATGCGGGGGCCATCTTCCAGGACATGTTGGAATGTCTTCGGGCTCCGGGTTTTATCGTCCCGGCGGTCGGCGGTCAGGTTTTTTTGCGTGCTGATGATGAGGCGGATCTCGTGCTTTGTGTAGCCAAGTTCCCAGGGTGGGCGGATCGGAGAGGAGCCGCGCAGGGATATCCACTTCTGGTCTTCTTTTTCTTATCGCTATCGACCCTTGTCTTCGCGCTCTCGAGACGGATTGTTGCCCGTCCTGCTGTTATGTATTCTTTTCCGGAGGATGTGGGCGCGGCCGTCATGGATGTCTTCGTTTCTCCGCCTGTCATTGTCGCGTGGATGGCGCAGTCGGCTGCAGTCGCCGATTTGTTTTTGCATATTGACAAGTGTGTATATGCTCTCCCTGGGCATTCTGACGGGAGCGAGTCTGTGAGTTCGATGAAGCAGCTTGGGATCGATGTCGGGGAGTTTTGATTTGAGCCCTGTGGGGGGCGCGCGCGTGCCTGGGGCCAGGGGGGAGTGGCGCGTCCTGGGGGGGGGGGGGGGGGGGGGGGGGGGGGCGTGCCAGGAGCTGTTGTCCAGGGTCTCGCGCATCCGCTCCGTGCAACTGTCTCTTGTCCATGATCTTTTCGCGTATGATGTGCTCGCTCTGTCAGTATTGTCTCGCATTTGGCAAGTGTATCCTCCGTCGGACGTGGCGTTCAAGACGTAACATGCTGCCCTGTAGAGACTGGCCGCTCCTCCGAGGCGCGCCATTCCGAGCGACCTTGTTCGTGACATCTCTGGCCTGGGTATCAAGGCCGAGCGCGGGCATTTCGTCCGTGCCTCAACGCAGCAGTATTCCGCGCAGCCGCTCGTTTCAGAGAAGTTGGTGGTGCTGTGGCCAGAGCGAATATAACGACCCACGATATTTACGATGATGATGATGTCCGTCCTGTTTCTCCGAAAGTACCCTGGGTGGTGGAACCAGTCCATCTTGCAGAACATGAGTGAATGTTGGAATGAGCTCTCTGCCCTTGCCCCGCAGCTCGCCGACCCCGACGTTCATGGTGTCCAAAGGAAGACGTGCAAGTTCCTGTCAGGTCGGCTTCATCCACCGTCTCCCAGCCATGATATTTTGAGTCGCGTTGGGTAATTTTGGCATCAGCCCCGCCCCCCCCGTCGGTGATCAGGTTTTTTTTTTTCGTTTGAACTTACGCAGGGCCAATTCCAAGCTGCCCCCGTGTTGACAGCGCCTTTTTTTCGCAACTGTCTGCAATGCCTGGCCCACGGCCCGCAGGTTCAGGCAAGGCGTTGGTATTTGCAAATATGGTTGCTGCGCTCTCCGAGGCGATGCGGTGGCGCATTACTTCTCGTGTTCTGCCTTGCTTCCTATCCTGCCGTTTGTCGTTCGCTCAGTGCCCCCTGCTTCCCTTGTCTTTTTCGCCACCGGATGATGTTCATAGCTCGTTTCCCTGTTGTGTTGCCAGAGGAAAAACTGAGTATTCCATTGCGTCGCGGGTCAATGTGCACGACTTTGAAATCCTTGCGTGCTGGAGGACAATTTGGACCCAATGGGGTCTATAGCCTCCCCCATGCCCGAGCTCGAGTGCTGGCCAGGCGGCACGGTGATTATCGTGCGCTGATCACCCGCCAGTCGCCGAGGATCACCAGCACATCGGAGGCGGGCGCTCTTCCTCCTCCTACTCCTCCTCTATTCGTTTTCCTTTGTAAATAATTTCTCCGTGTCGCACCCCGAGACCAGTCGGAAGGGCGGGCAGGGCGTTTCGTCGGAGATTCCGTCACCATGTGTGACCCTGAACTTTTAAACATGGCAAGAATTTCACGGATTGAAGGCGGGTGGTTTTCAAAATGTGACTCTCGTCTTAGCGCCTCGCGCATTCGTTTGTAAAATTTGCAAGAGTTGCACGGGTTGAAGGCGGGTCGTTTTCAAAATGAGGCTCTCGCCCCAGTGCCGCGCACATTCGTTCAAACGTATTGCAAGGGTTTCACGGGTTGAGGGCGTTTTTTTTTGTTTTTTTTTTTTTTTTTGTTTTTTTGTTTTTTGGTTTTTTTTCCTCTCTCTCAAACTGTGGCTCTCACCTGAGCGCCGCGCACATTCGTTTCACAGTTTTGTGAGAGATTCACGGATAGAGGGCGGGTGTTTTTCAAAATGTGGCTCTCGTCTTAGCGCCGCGCACATGCGTTTAGAACTATTGCAGGAGTTTCACGAGTTGAGGGCGGTTCTTTTCCAACGTGTGGCTCTCGCTTTAGCGCTGCGCACATGTGTTTCCAAACATTGCAAGAATTTCACGGGTTCCTTTGATCAGCGTTCCAACTATGCTTGTGGAAAGATTCAGGAGTATGAGGCTGCAACTCTTACGTTGGTTCTTTGTGTTGCAGTCTCAGACATGGTGTTCTGGCACGGATCAGTATCGTGGGTACGCAGCAGTCAGGTTGATCCGTGGCGTTGTAACCCCGATAACATTATTTTGGCATACTTCAGGGCTTTCAAACGGTTGTCTTCTAACGAGGCAGTTCTTTCAGAGGAAATGGGGGCCTATGACCTATGAGGAGGGGGCTTGGAGAAAGGGTTTATTCCAACATCGTTGATGACTCTTGGGTTTCCATTGGTCCTCCTCCTCCTCCTCTTCCTCCTCCTCCTCCTCCTCCACGTTTGGTCCGAGCGATACTGAGGCGCCCGCACGCACGGGTGCACAAATGCTTTCCAAGGCCGGATTTGGGGGGAATGAGAAAGAAGGCTGCCCGGGGTCAGAGCCGTTGGAACGAAGCATTTTGAGCCGAAACATGGCGGGGGGCGGGATGAGAGGAGGTAAGGGAAGCAGGGTAGAGAGGATGAGGAGAAGGAGGAGGAGGAGGAGAACCAGTGTAAACCCAAGGCTCATCAACGTTATTGCTGTAAACCCTCCCAAGGTCTCTCTATACATCGGCCCCCACAAGGATTCATTTTCACTCGAGGAAGTACCCCGTTAGAGAACAACTGTTTGAAAATTTGGAATTGTGCCAGAATGCCATTCCTAGGATGTCAGCGCCGCGAATCACGCCTACTGTTGCGTCTTGACGATCCTGAATCGTGCCAGAACGCCATTCTTGGGATTTCAATGCCACGAATCAACGTAACTGTCCCGTCATAGCAGTCCGACATCGTGCCAAAACACAGCTCCTGCGCGTTAACCATGGGAATATGTGAAACTGCTGTAAACTCTTCGAACGAACGTGTGCGGCGCGAAGGCGAAAGCCATATTTTGAAAAGGAGCCGCCCGCCATCCGTGAGACTCTTTTTTTTTTTTGTTTTTTTTTTTTTTTGTAAAGACGGATGTGCGCGGCGCTAGGGCGAGAGCCACAATTTGAAAGCCAGCCGCCCTCCATCCGTGAATCTCGAGCACAATTTTAAGACGGATGTGCGGCGCTAAGGCGAGAGCCACATTTTGAGAACCAGTTGTCCTCGATCCTTGAAGCTCGTGCAAGTTGTTAGGACCGACGTGCGCGACGCTAAGGCGAGATCCACATTTTGGAAAAACTACTCGCCCTCTATCAGTGAGATTGCTGCAAAGTTTAAACTGCAGAATCATACATGGTGAGGGAGTCTCAGGCGAAACGCCCTGCCCGCCCTTCCGGCTGGCCTCGGGGTGCGACAGTGAGGAGCTATTCATAAGGAAAAGGAACGGGGGAGGATGAGGATGATGATGAACATGAGGATGAGGATGAGGATGATACTGAGGATCAGGATGATGATGATGCTGCTGCTGCTGATGATGATGATGATGATGATGATGATGAGGAGGAGGAGGAGGAGAAGGAGGAGGAGGAGGAGGAGGAGGAGAACGAGAGCGTCGCGGGCCCCCCCAGGCGGCCCCAGGAGGCCGCCCAGAGACCCTGGAGGTCGTGTCGCGCCACCGGGATGCTCCGCCTTCGTGTAACCCGTGGTGGTCGCCGTGAACGTCGTCGTCGTCGTCGTCGCGATCGTGGTCGTCATGATCGTGGTCGTGGTCGTGGTTGTGGTCGTGGTCGTGGTCGTCGTCGTTGTGGTCGTGGTCGTGGTGGTCGTCGTCGTCGTCGTCGTCGTCGTCGGCGGCGGCGTCGTCGTCGTCCTGGTCGTCGTCGTGGTCGTCGTCGTCGTCGCCGTCTTGGTCGGGATCGTTGTGGCCGTCGTCATGGTTGTGGTCGTCATGTTCTTGCTTGTGGTCGTCGTGGTGGTCTGTGATGCTGGCGTCGTGGTCGTCGTCGTCGCGGCTGTCATGGCTGTCGTGGACGACGTCGTCGTCGGGGCGCCGTGGGAAGGTCACGCCGGGCCCTTTTTGTTCTGCCCGCGTCTCCCCCTCTCAGTGCGCCCCCTAGCCCTGCCTCGTCCGCCCACGTGCCCTGGGCCTTGCATGGCGCGCACGCTGACCCCCTCTTCCTGGCCCCCCTCCATGGTCTGCGACCTCTTGGCTCACAGGGCCCCTCTCCAGGCACCCGGCGACCCGACTCGTCCAGTGCGCGGCCTCCGAGGTCCCGGCCCCTGGCTGGGGGCCCGTTCTTCGCCCCGGATCCCCCTCTGACGGCGCCGGGGCCCCGCCACGGGCCCACGGGGCCGCCATCGAGGCACAGCTGCTGGGCCGGAGCAGAATCGGAGTTTCGGGGAGCTGGGTTCCTGGCTCGCCCTCGTCGGCGCCGGCCGCGCCCCGCAGGAGTTCGACCCCGTCTACGGGGCCGTGGCCGCTGGGGCGCGGCGGGGGGCGCCGCGCCCAGACGGCGCGCGCGCGCGCGTGCCTGCCGTGGCCGCGCGTCTCGCGCGCGCTGCTGCGCCGAGGGCCCCGCGCCGCCCGGGCCTGCGCGCCCCCGGGCCGTGAATCCAGGCGTCCCAGAGAGGGTCGAAGCAGATGGGGTCGGAGGGTTGCGCCGCATCGCCGATGCACGGCGTCGCATCGCCGATACATCGGCGATGCGGCCTGATGGGGGGCCCGGGGGGCCCGATCTTCTCCACGCCGACGTGGCCGATGCATCGCCGACGTCGCCGAGGCATCGCCGATCGGTGCTGCCTCAGAGATGCGGCGCGATCCTCTGGTCCCATCTGCTCCGAGCCCATCCAGGAGGAGGAGGAGGAGGAGGAGGAGGAGGAGGAGGAGGAGGAGGGAGGAGGAGGAGGAGGAGGAGGAGGAGGAGGAGGAGGAGGAGGAGGAGGAGGAGGAGGAGGAGGAGGAGGAGGAGGAGGAGGAGGAGGAGGAGGAGAGGAGGAGGAGGAGGGAGGAGGAAGGAGGAGGGAGGAGGAGGAGGAGGAGGAGGAGGAGGAGGAGGAGGAGGAGGAGGAGGAGGAGGAGGAGGAGGCCTCCGGCGAAGGAGGCGCACCCGAAGCCACAGGGGGCCTCGCAGGCCTCGCGCCTTCTCCCGATCTTCGAGGGCGCGGCGTGCTCTCCTCGGCCGGGGCCTCCGGGGCCCGCGGAGGGGCCCTGGGGCCACCAAGCAGGGGTCCATTACCAGCCTGGAACATGTCCCTATCCCTATGCTGGGCACCTCCTCATCACGATGCCAGTCTTAGGGACTCCCTGGTTTTTTGAGGGCGAATCCCTAAGCTTGTCATCGCCTTTTGGCGAGTCAATATCAGGGATAGGGATACGTTCGAGGCTGAAGTCCAGGGCGAACACACACACACACGTGTCCGGGCCGACGGGCAAACCTAATTAGCTGCTGGGCGCAGCACGAGCCGGCCGGGCCAGCTCACAAAGCAGCAGCTGGGCAGCGGCAGCGGGGGGCTGGCTGGCTGAACTGCAACGCCCAGGGAAGCTCGGGCATCGTGCAGCCCTGTGGCAAGGGCGAACACACACATTGCCCCAAGGAAAGTCGGGGGCGGCCAAGAGGGGGGTGATGACTCGGGGGGGTGGATCTCAGGGCGGGGCCAGGAGATCTTCCCAGATTTCGTGGCGCCTCGTCTTGTTTCAAGGCGTTCCCTGCCCCCCCCTTGGGCCGCGCACATGCCGCCGGCCGTGGTTTGCACCCCCCCTCTTGGACGCCCCCCTCTTGGCCGCCCCCGAGAAAAGGGTTGGGTCTTTTGGGGCCGCGTACTGAAAACATCGCACCGTCGGAGGTTCGGGCCGCCTTGGGTCAGGGACCCCTCTGGCAGCGCCCGAAGTGGGGGCGTCTTCCAGAGGAAGAGGGGCGCACGGGTGCGTGTTCGGTGCTTCTGCTGCCTCGGCGCCGCTCCTGTGCGCCCTCCGGGGGTTCGGGTTTGCCGCGCCGCTGTGCAGGGAAGCTTTCCCGGGGCTGCCCCTGGAACGTGCAGGGCTCGCTAGGGATTTGGTTTCTCGCCCAAAACGACCGAAACTGTCCCGAAAGCCTCCCCGATGGGTTCCGGGAGACTTTTCGGAGGGCTAGGAGGGTTTCGGGAGGGTTTTGAAAGCTTCAGGGGGAAACCAGTCCCCAGAGAACCTTGAGCCTTCGAAGGCTGCCCCACATTTTGCTGCCCGCTGGCTGGAATTCGCTGGCGCGCTGGACGAGAAAGCGTGCTTGGTGCGCCCCTGCGCTCCTCCGCTGGCTCCCGAGCGAGGGCTCACTGGCGCTGGGGGGTGGTCGGCGGCGGTATCCGAACCTGTGCCCTCGTCGATCAACTCAGGGGTGGACAGACCTCCTAACAGTGACACGTCGATTAGTGAATTGTCGGTTTTCGGTTCTTGAGATGGCGCCGCGCCCGTTATTTTCCAGGCTTGCACCCGCCAGGTTTGGACCCGAGGTCGTTTTCACTAAACCACGTTTTACTAAAGGGAGGTCTGTCCATCCCCGATCAACGATTCAGGCCACTCTATGGGCGGCGGCGGTAGGCTTCGGACCTCGTCGAGCACGTGGCGAAGTTCGGACCCTACAGTCGAGTTTGATTAGTAGGTCGACCCTGCCCAAACAAGGGTACCTTCGTGTCCTGTGTTTCGCGACCCATGCCCACTACATTCCACTGGAAACGTGGCCATCGGAAGAGTCTTGTGTCCTCTCGCGTGTCCTCTCCAATCCACCCCGACTGTACCCTCGCCAGGAGGGTACAGTCGGGGTGGATTGGAGAGGAAGAGTCTTGTGTCCTCTCGCGTGTCCTCTCGAGTGTCCTCTCCAATCCATCCATCGCTTCAGGAGAGCCGATGGTCGGTGGGGGTTTGGAGTCCGGAGGGCGCCACCCGGGTGGAGCAGACAGCGCGCGGTGGCGGGAGGGGGGGCCGGAGAGCGAGGGCGAGAGCCACAGCCAGGAGCCCAGAGGCTTCCCGCGATCTGTGTTCTCGATGCTTCCAATTCTCAGGAGGGGAAAAAACACACAGACACAATTAATCGTCGATTCCCAGGAAAATATGGGAAAATATGGGAATTGGTCGGGAAGACAAAAACCTAGAAAAATATAGGAAAATATGGGGAATATTTTTATTTGTGTGTATTTATTTGTGTGTCCCAGGGCCCCTTCAAATTCAAGCTTCGCGCCGCCCGCTTACTCCAGATTTCGTAGTAAAGGGAGGGGGGTCTCATTTCGGGGGGGGGTCTCTTCCAGGCTATCTTGGAGGGCCTGGGGGGTCTGGGGACGATGCTTTGGAGGGTTCTCCCACGGGGGAGGTCTGAAATGGCTTGTCTTGGAGGGTCCAGACCCCCTCCCTTTTATTACGAAATCTGGAGCACTCCAGATTTCGTAAGAAAAGGGAGAACCCTCCAGAGCATCGTCCCCAGACCCCCCCGGGCCCTCCAGGATGGGCTGGAAGAGACCCCCCCGCGAAATGAGACCCCCCCTCCCTTTATTTACGAGATCGGGAGTAGCTTCGTAGCTTCGACCGGTAGAGGTGCGCTCTCGACCCGCGGATCAAACAAATGTGTTCTCAGTCCTGGCGTTTTTCCTCGTGGGCGGGCCCGTGGTCGGGCCCCCAGCGGGGCCCCGGGGACGGATCGGGGGCGATACCCTGGCCCTGGGGAAGGGGTCGGGGCCTCTTGGTGATCGTATCTTTTTTTTTTTTTGTTGTTTTTGTTTTTTGGCGGTTTTTGTTTTCTGATTATGTGGTTTATTATTCTTATTATTATTATTATTATCATTATTATTATCATTATTATTATTATGATTATGAGTATGATGATTATTATGATTATTATGATTATTATGATTATTGTTATTATCATTATTATTATTTATTATTATGTTTAAATAATAATAATAATAATAATAATTATTATTATTATTATTATTATTATTATTATTATTATTATTTTTAATATTATTATTATTACTATTATCATTAATTTGTGTTTATCAGAGGCCAGCAACATATGCACACGTACGCGGTTCACTTCCCCTGGCGTGCTTGTATACGAGGGCGTTCGTGCAGGCAAGACCGCGGAGGGTGTACACGTACGAAAGAGCGCGTTCTGTGGTCGCTTGGAGGGGGGGGGGGTTGGAACCGGACCCCCCCCCCCCACCCATGACGGAGGGGGGGGGGTTTGAACCCCCCCCCTCCCTGGCGGCGGCGGCGGCTGGCGGCGGCTGGCGGCGGCGGCGGCTGGCGGCGGCGGGGACGACGATTTCCTTCTCTGGGCCGGCGCGGGCGCCTGCGGCGGTGGGCGGCGGCGGCGGGGAGCGTCGACGAGGACGACGGTGGTGGTGGTGGTGGTGGTGGGTTGTGGTGTGGTGGTGGCGGTGGTGGTGGTTGTGGTGGTGGTGTGATGGTTTGTGTGGTGGGTGGTGGTTGTGGTGGTGGGTGGTGGTGGTGGTGGTGGTGGTGGTTTGTGGTGGTGGTGTGGTGGTGGTTTGGTGGTGGTGTGGTGGTGGTGGCGGTGGTGGGTTGTGGTGGTGGTGGTGGTGGTGGTGGTTTGGTGGTGGTGTGGTGGTGGTTTGTGTTGGTGGTCGTGGTTTGTGGAGGTGTTGCTGGTGGTTGTGGTGGTGGTGGCGGTGGTGGTGGTGGTGTGCTGGTTCGTGGTGGTGGTGGGTTGTGCTGCTGGTAGTGGTAGTGGCTGTGGCGGTGGTTGTGGTGGTGTGGTAGATTGTGGTGGTAGTGGTAGTGGTCGTAGGTTTTTGTGGCGGTGGTGGTGGTGGTGATGGTGAGTTTTGGTGGTGGTGGTTGTGGTGGTGGTGGCGGCTGTGATGGTGGTGGTTGTGCGGTTGGTTTCTGGTGGTGGTGATGAGTTGAGGCGGTGGTGGTGGTAGTGGTAGTGGTGGTAATCGTTGCTGCGTCCCTGCTGTCGCCGGCGGCAGCGCCGGCGTTGCTGGCCGCCGCCAGCGCCGGCGCCGGCGCCAGGGGGCGCCAGGGGTGGGGGGGGGGGGCGGGGGGGGGTTCGGACCCCCCCCTCCCCGTGGGCTGCCTCTGGTCATCGTCGCTGCGTCCCCGCCGTCGGCGCTGCTGGCGGCCGCCAGCGCCGGCGCTGGAGCCGGCGTCGAAGGGGGGGGTTGAAACCCACCTCCCCCTTTGGGAAAGGGTCGGTGGGGTTCGGGAAGGGGGGGGGGGTTGGGGGGGAGGGGAGTCCCCTTGGTTTTGATCGACGGCGCCAAGTGTTGGGCTCCCCCCCCCCGGTTCGAAACGCGCCGCCGAATGTTCCCAAGGCAGGCGCCCGTGAAACGCGCTCTCTCACGTGTACATCTGTCGTTGCTCGCTTATCTTATTTATTGTTTTGCCGCTCGGCGCGGGGCGTGCCGCCCCCTACCCCCATAAAGTAGATCTTGGCTGTTATTGGCGCCTTTTTCGTGCAACTGGGGTCCCTCCCCCACAGGACGCGCTGTTGCAGACAGTCGCGTTGAGGAGAGGTCCCCCCTCCCCCTGTTTTCCGTCCATGTCGAAACGCCGAATGAGGAAACGTTCGCTTGGAGCCTCGGATTGACGAGCTCTCTCGGAAAATGTCTGGGAACCGAGGGGGTGGCAGGAGAGGAGGCTTCAGGGGCTGGGCGCTGCGCGTCGCAGGGCAGGGCGAGGGGGGTGCGGCCCCCCGAGAAGGCACGGAGCTTCTTCCGAGGGGGCCCGCCCTTTCTGGAAGAGCCTCTGAGGACCCGATCCGATGCGGTCCCCCGAGCTGCGGTTCCGAGGTCGATCCAGCCCGATCCGACATGGACCGACTCTCTCTCTCTCTCTCTCCCTCCTCCTCCTTTTCCTTTTCCTTTTCTTCCTCCTCCTCCTCCTGCTGCTGGCATACAGGGACCGAACCTCGACCGCGATCCCAGACGACGTGATCCTGGCCCGATCCCGCGCCGACCTGGGCGCGACCCGATCCGTTTTCGCGACGCGATCCGACGTTTCGCGGTCCGACCCAGCGCGGGGCCAGAAGGGGGTCTTTCGGAAGGCGAGGATGCCCTCCGACGGGCGCGGCCTCCTCCTCCGAGGGGCCGCTTCCCCCCCCTCCCCCACTCCCCCTCTCGCCCTGGGGCCCCCTCTCGGGCTTCCCGCAAAGGGCGGGGGCGGAGGGTGATTGATGCGGAGGATGCCTTCCGACGGGCGCGGCCTCCTCCGAGGGGCCGCTTCCCCCTCCCCCCACTCCCCCTCTGGCCCTGGGGCCCCCTCTCCGGGCTTCCGGCCGGGGCCTCCCCCTCCCCCCACTCCGCTCTCGCCCTGGGGCCCCTCTCCGGGCTTCCCGCCAATGGGGGGGGCGGGGGGGGGGGAGGGCGGAGGGTGATTGATATGCGCAGGCACGGCCGGGGCCCCCCTCTGCGGGTCGACCCGCGGCGGGCGCGTCTCGTGCCGGCGCGGCGCGGCGGCCCCGGCGCGGGACGCTCGAGGGTTGAGCACCTTCCGTCGGGCACGTCCTTCTGCAGGGAGGATCTCCAGAAATAGTAACACAAATCCTCTGGGGACGATTCGTCGATTGCTTTTTGGATCATTCGTCGAGTATTTTCATTTTCCCTCCAGCCCGGAATCGGTTGACACAGAGCGATCGGCGTCGTCAGGGAGCTGCGATCGCTCAAGGCCGAGCGAGCCGCTCGGTGCCAGAAGCCAGCGCCGCTTGAGGCGTCACGGCACCAGCCTGCCGTGAAGCCCAGCAGCCAGAGAGGGTCGGGAACAGAACGTACACAGTGTTCATTTCGAATTCTTCGAAGTTTCTTTGATTTTGTTGGGGGGCCAAGATCCTTTCATTTCTAGTTGTTCAATCCTGGGCCTCTTCCTGGCCACTAGGGGGCCAGGAACAACTAGAATCGAGCACACTTAGAAATGAGCACGATTAGAAATGAACGAAGTGTACTCACGCCCGCGGCAGTCTCTCCAGCTCGAGAAGCACGTCCACGGGCGGCAGCATTCGACTTGCCAGGCCATGCTGCAGAACCCCCAGTGGGCCAGTCGGCAGCGAACTCCATCGAGCGCGGCCTCTCCCGAAGCTGCCATCAAGGGGCGCGGGAATGCGAGGCAGTGGGCCGTGGCGCTGGACCTGTTTCGAGAAGCGCTGGGGTCACGCGTGCCGCCAAGAATAGTCTGGTACAATGCTGCCACCGTTGCATGTGGTAAAGGCGGTCAATGGCAGCACGCTCTGTCACTGCTCAGGGAAGCGGGCGAGTTAAAGATGGAGCTGACTGTCATCAGTTACGGCAGTGGAGTGAACGCATGCAAAATCGGTGGGCAGTGGCAGCGTGCATTGTCTTTGCTCAAGGAGGCAAAGGAAATTAGCTTGAAGCCAAATGCTGTCGTCTATAGCTCTGGAATCAGTGCTTGCGCGATCGGAGGGCTTTGGCAGCAGGCTTTGTCGTTGTTGAGGGAGTTCAGCGACAGTGAATTGGAGCCCAGCGCCGTAGTCTACAATGCAGGAATGGACGCGTGCAAGAATGATGGGCAGTGGCAGCGAGCGTTTTGGCTACTCCGAGAAATGGTCGAAGCGAAGCTGAAGCTTGACGCAGTTAGCTGCGGTGTCGGAATCGGCGCGTGCGAGAGAGGCGGGGCTTGGCAGCAGGCACTCTGGTTTTTCACGGAGTCGAAAGAAGCGACTCTGGAGCTGGACATCATGAGCTACAGTGCCGCAATCGGGTCGTGCGAGAAAGCTGCGCAGTGGCAGCTGGCGTTGTCGCTGCTCAGGGGAATCAGTGAAGCAGACTTGGAGCCTGACGTTTTCAGCTTCACTGCTGGAATCTCCGCGTGCAAGCGAGGCGAGCAGTGGCAACAGGCGCTGTCTCTGCTCGGGGAGATGGGGGATGCGAGGCTAGAGCCGGACGTCCTTAGCTGCAATGCCGGAGTGAGCGCTTGCGAGAGGGCTGGGCAGTGGCAGCAAGCGTTGTTCTTGCTCAGGGCGATGGGGGGCATGAAGCTGGAGCTGGACATCCTCAGCTACAACGCCGGAGTCAGCGCTTGCGAGAAGGGGGTGCAGTGGCAGCGGGCGCTGTCCTTGTTGGCGGAGGCGAGGGAGGCGGCGTTGGAGCTCGACGTGAGCCCGTCTGCACTTCCGGACGCCGCGTGTGCGAGAGGAGCTGATGCCCCAATTTCGGCGTTCACCTCGAAGGTCAGGTTTTGGCCTGTTCGCAGTCCTCTGTCGTCCCGCCCCCGCCTCCCTCCCCCTCCTTCCTCCTTGCTGCTTGCCCCTCCCTCCTTCCCCAATCGAACCAGATTCATCCTGCCTCTTCTCACCCCTGCTTTGCCTGCGCCTCACGCTGCCCTTTCAGCTGCAGCCTCGCGCGCCCGCTCTTAGTCTTGCTTTACACACCCGCTTCACATCCGCTTTTCTAAATGTCCCACGCTTTGCATTTTCTATATCCCATTTTCTAGTTGGTAGCGGGGCTTCGGCTCCAATGCCACGGCCGCAATGGCTTCTCGTTCTCGCCTCGCTTCGACAGCACAGGCTCCAGCCCGCTGCTTTACATCGTGCCGCTCTACATCCAGATGGTCATATCGCTGGACATCCGCTCTTATAAAGCATCGACCCTCTCGCCTGGACAGGAGACGTCGTTACTCTCGGGTCCGTTGGGGCGTTTGCCCATCCGTCCTGACCGGCGACAGGAAAAGCGCATACCTACCTCAACCAACACGAGATCTACAAGGACCCCGGCCGCGCGCCGAAACTCTCAGAGATCCCTCCCGGACTCGCGTTGACAGTGTCATCGCAGGTCGCGGACCCCGCGCTTCCATTTCGTCCGTCATGGGTTTAGCCGCCAATGTCAGACAGTGGCTCGATACAACCTTCGCATCTACGGTGTCAGTGATGGTCCCCAGGTTTTGGCGACTGCCGGGATAGCTCCGGGAGGAGCAAGCAGAGAAGAGCCCGGAGGCAATGAAGGGCCTGGCGTCTGTGTTGCCAGCACTCCGAGGAACAGCGAACAGGAGCTGGGAGAACCATAGTGCGCGACTTTTCACCTTGCCCACTCATTTCCTGTAGCCTAGCAGGACGGGGTCCCGATGCGCACTCCGTTTGACGATCGTGCAGTTGGGTCATTTCAGTGCAGTGGCTCTTGGACGTGCGAAGAGCACTCCCGTGACTGAGTCGCGGTATGCACCGAGTGCCGACAGCGCCACGACCGCGCGACGGAAGCATGCGCCCAAAACGCAAACGAGGAGGAACACATCCAGGACAAGCGTCCACGGGTTCTCGGAGGCACATTTCCCGAGCAGCGGCCCTCATGTATCCCTGGCTTCGAGCACGTCTGCGACACGTGGATGGAGTTACGCTCCGGATGGAAGACCATTACAGTCGGCATGATCGCCGTCACCAGCTGCATCTCCTGCATGGGCGTAGGCGGAGGCAGCGGCAATATGCGACGCCTCCGCACCTGGGGGCCCGATCAGCAGGCTCGCTTATCCTTCCAGAAGTGGGCGCGGGAGGTGATGATCTGGTCTGTTGTGAACTCAGACATCGACGAGTCTCGTCAGGCGGCCTGCGTCTCGTCGCGCTTCGCTGGCAAGGCACGCGAGTGCGTGGGCGAATGGCCGCCAGCTGTCCTGATCCAGGGCGATCCCATCAACGTCAACCCAGTGCCATCGATGACCCCTAATGCTCAGTTTGGCCGAACGGTGGGGCCGACGTGGCGAGGGGGAGCGCATTTCGGCAGTGTCAGTACTTATGATCTTTTACAGACTGCCGCAAAGGCGCGTCGACAACATCCTCGCGCGATTCGACGTCCTCGCAGGCGGGCGTAGCGAATTGGTTAACTCATGATCGTCTACGAGGGCCTCGGCTCCATCTTGCTGGGCGTCGTCGGCGTCTCGAACATCCAAGCGGCCATGATCTAGCAGCACTGCGACGTTGCCTGTCCCGCGAATGCTGGGCAGCCCGCGCGCGCGACGGGCCGACGGCGGCGCTTTGGGCACGTGATCGAGGGGGCGCCAGGCAACCTCGCCCCGGCGGCCCATTCCGCCCGACGGCGCGCCTTCCTCGCGGGCGCGCCCATGTGAGATCATGCTCGCGGTGCCTGTGGTATTGTGGCCCGATCGAGCTGGGATGGCACGTCTCCAGTTGCGCTGGGGGCGGGTGCGGCGTGGGGCCCGCGTGCGCTGGCAGCCGCAGGCAACGCCGGCGCGGCGTCGCCAGCGTGGGGGGGGGGCAGTCCCGGGCGCAGGCGTCGACCCAGGCGCCGATGGCGACGCCGCCGGCTCGTTCGGCGAAGGCGTGGCCGCAGACGACCCCGAGCTACGCGACGCACCTGTGGAACAACGCGGTGCGCGCCTCTTCTGGGCTTGCGAGCGCGCCGGAGCGCGCCGGGGCAGCCGCGACAACCGCGAGCCCGCGCGCCGCGTCCCGAGGGTCATCAAACGGAAGGGCGAGGGCCGAGGCGCGGCCTGTCGGGCCTTCCTGGCCGACCAGCCAGGGGCGTGGGTTTGGGCCGCCAAGGGGGCCCCGCGTGTCCTGGCGAGGTGCGTCTCAAATGCCGCGATTGCGATTCTGAGGGGCGCCTCGTGCGCTGCCCCTGGCGCCGCAGCCAGGGGCGCGCTCTCTTCCTTAGCGCCTGCGCCCCAGCGCCATCGTCGCCGCCGGCATCCTCGCCCCTCGTTCTTCCGGGGCAGCAGGGGCCGCGGGGTTCGTCCGAGCGGCGGGCCCCGCGGGGGGCGCGCGCGGTCTGAATGGCGCAGAGCGCCAGTGGGATTCCGCAGCCTGCGCTTGCAGGTGCCGGGGAAGGCGGTCCCATGCAGAGCGCTGGCCCCGAGGGCGGCGGTCGGCCAACTCTGGCAGATGCAGCGCCGCGGCCAGCTGCAGAAGCCGGTCCAAGGGCGTTGTCAGACGGTTCTTGGCAACGCGTCGGTCACGGCCACTGGTCGGGTCGGGTTTGTGCATCGCCCTCTCATTCGTCCTCTCCCAACCCCCGCGACGCCGAGCCGCGACGACCGTGGCGGGGGATGGCAGAAGTCATGGGCCGCCCGCAGGACTCCGCGCCGCCAGCGGGCCCTCTGACTGCGTCGCCAGCCCGCGCGGCAGTGGCGGGGTAAACAGCGGCGGCGCCGACAGCTCTGGCAGCTTCGCTGGCGCGGCCGCAACCGACGCCACAACGTTGGGCGCTATTGGGTGGTGCGTCCCCGCGGGGGCAAGCTCAGGGGCGCGACTGGGTGGGCGACCTCGACGCCTGCGTCGCCGCGCCTCCCGCCCCGCCTGCCGACGTGCACTGGCCGAGCTTGGCATGCGTGGCTCCCGTCTAAGCCCTCGACATAAGCGCCGCATGCGGATCGAATCCCGCGTGGCTCCCGCAGTCCGCGCCGACGGCTGCGTCGCCGCTAGTGCCGGGGTCTCCCTGGCAGCTGGCTCTGTTCATCCAGAACGGCCCAGTCGATGTGGGCCGACCGTCTCGGAGAGTCCGAGCGCGACGTGCGCGCCGCCTCGGCCGCGCGCGGCGACGGTATTTCGATGGGCTCCACGGCGCGCAGCTAGCGCTCGAGCTCATGCGGCAGCAGGGCTGGCGGCGACGGCAGGCCGCGCAGAGTCTTTCTTAATCTTCGTCCTGTGCCAGCCGCTCCGCCTGCCGAGCCCCATTCTGTCGCCTCTGTCGCCGTTTTGATTGGCGATGATGGGGGGTGCCCTGTCTGTCCCGAGGCCCTCCAGCATGGCGAGAGGATGGTGCGCCTGCGCCGCCGCCGAATCTTGCGCCAGGCATGCCTTATGCAGCTGATGCAGGTGCCCGCGTGGTGCGCTGTTCGGCGTGCCGCGGCCTGGCCGACCTCGTCGCCGATGTCCGCCTTATTGGTGCAGAGTGGGCGCCCGCGGGCCCAGTGCCGGCGGCGTCGACTTGCGCGGCTGCAGCCGAGGGCGTGCCGGAGGAGACCCCGCCACAGCGGGGCGTCTCGCAGTCTCCCCCCAGTCGCAGGGGCGCCTCGGTCAGACCCCGTGCAGTCGCCGGGCAGTGCGTCCAGCTTCGCGTCCGCAGTGGATGCGGCGGCGCCCTGCGGCGCCCTCCCGGATTTGCGCGCGCCCCCGTGCGTTCTCAGGGTGGCCGACCTCGTCGGGTACTGGCTCGGGCTCATCGAGCGAGTGGCAGTAATGCCTCTCGAGCGTTGGTCGACCAGATGGTCGGTTAGGTGTCATGGTCGACGCTGGCGCCTGGGCGAATCTCCGGACCTCTGGGGGCCGCGTTTGGTCATGAATTTGGCCCGCGAGACCCAGCAGACAAGACTGCGGCCCTCCGAGGGGGAGTTGTCAGCCCCGCTGTACGCGGCAGGAGTTGGCAACGGGGCGCAGGCTGCGCGTCGTGAGGTCCGCTGCCCCATGGCGACGACGCCCCGCGACGGTGTGACCAGTCGGCACAGTGTGTGCGCTCAGTCCGTGGAGGGTGCCAGCGCTGACCCCCCCTGCCTTATTGGGTTTGTAATCCATGCAGTCCTCCAGCGGGCTGGCGAAGACGGGCGTGGGCCGCGTGGGCCGCGAGCGCCTCGTCTTCCTTGGGCCAGGCGGCGACGAGATCACTTGGGGCCCTGGCACCGTCCACTTCGGAGTCGGCGCCGAGCGGCCACGCGTGCGCCCCCGTCGACTACTTTTGCAAGCTTCAGCCGCGCTCAGGGGGCCCGCCGCCCAAGCGGCGCACGCTGTTGGCGGTGGCCGGCGACGGCCAGGATGACGACGCCACAGGTCGCCGCGAGCTCAAGAAGCTGAGCGCCCAGCTCACCTGCCCCAGCGCGCGCGCGCGCCAGCGCGAGGCGCGCTCGGGGCCGCGGGCTACGATCTTGCGATCTGTCTGCCCGAGCGGAATCGTGGCCTCTCCCAACCTTCCTCCGTCGTCTCGTGGGCCTGCAGGCTTTGGACACACTGGAATGACGTTCCCCAGTCAAGACTCCACCGCGAGAGAGGGAGGCAGCGCGTCATCCAGGGAGTCTCTCGGTGCTTCTAGCACCGCAGGATGCAAGGGGCTGCCTCGCCAGGAGACGGCCGGGCCGTCCCTGGCCCCGTCGGCCTGGCCCGGCAGAAGTGGGCGGCAGGGCCAGGGCGTCCCGCCTGCGTCCTGGAACGGAGGTCGGGGCG